GGCAAGATGAGTAATTTGGGGACCACCCTTACCAACACGGATAGGCCGCCACAAACCCCCATTCAAAGCAGTCATAAAAATATGAGTGAGTTTTTCCATAGCAAGGACAAAAAGATAGGGAGAAAGAGGATCACCCTGCCTAATACCCCTCGATGGTCTAAACTCACTAGTTTTGCCACCATTCCAAAGAACGTTAATTTTAGAAGACTCCACACAGCTCATGATCAGATGAATAAACTGCTCAGGAAAAGAAATCTCATGAAGAATACGTCTAAGGAAACCCTACGAAATTTTATGATAGGCCTTGACCAAATCAATTTTAATTGCCATGAAAGCTTTCTTCCCCTTCATCTTATGCATTGAATGCACCAATTCCTGCACAATAATAATATTATCCTGAATTTGTCTATGAGGAACAAAACTCACCTGAAAAGGAGCAACCAAGCTTTCCATCATCGGCTTTAATTGCTGAACAATAATCTTAGATAACAGCTTATACAGGACGGAACACAGGGAAATAGGTCTAAATTGAGAAATATAGACAGGATTCTTCACTTTTGGAATCAACACTAAAAGTGTAGCATTTATATCAGCAACCAACGCAGGGTTGGACCACAGCCTCCGAATGGAATTAATGATCTGACAATTCATAAACTTCCATTGTCGTTGAAAGAACATAGCGGGAAAACCATCCACACCAGGAGCTTTAAAAGCCCCCATAGGCTGCAAAATACTAGAAATCTCCTCACTAGACGGCAATCTTATCAAATTTTCACGGGCTTCATTTGTGACATCAGCCCATAAACTATGAGAAGTCAACCACCTGCGGGAAACAGAATCCTCAGTGAATAAGTTTCTAAAGAAAAGACAAACATGGTCTTTTAACTCAATTGGCTCCTCAATCCACAGACCATGTCCTTTTTAAGCCTTGAAATTTTGTTGACACCTCTCCTGACCACAGTACGCAAGTGATAATATCTAGTATTCTTGTCAGCATCCATAATCCAATGATGTCTAGATTTTTGGAACCACAACATCTCTTCTTCTTCCAAAACAAGGTCCAAATCCTTCTGTAAGTGCGCCTCAGTGTCTTGAAGGCACAAACAATCAGATCGAGCTCTTTGCATCTGAACTTTCTCAATCTGACGGATTAACAAATTCTTCCTCTGATTAATATTGCCATACACAGTTTTGTTCCAATGCGAAATCAATGGGACAAAGTTACTCAACATCAAGCTAATCTCTGAGCTCCTATTCCAATTCCCCACCATAAACTCCTCAAAATTAGGATGATCCATCCAAGAAGCAAGGAACCTAAAAGGTCTCTCCTGCCAAAGGTTATTCTTATTAGAAATATTCAACAACAAAGGATTGTGATCAGACTGCATCCTGGGAAGAATTCTAACTTCAGAGTTTACAAAAGTCAACTACCAAACCAAATTAACACAAATTCTGTCAAGCTTTTTAAAAACTCTCTCAAGATGATTCCATTTCGGACCTTGCCAAGTGAAAGTAGGACCAAAACAGCGCAGATCCTTGACCTGACAGCTATCCAAAAATTCAGAAAATCTTTCGCACTTAGCCCTATCCACAGGAGACCCTCCCTTCTTCTCACTACCATCCTTAATATCATTAAAATCACCAGCAAAAACCCAAGGACAATTGATATTCTGACTGAACTGGAAAACCTCATCCCACATCACATGATGATCCTCTTCCCTAGGACTAGCATAAACAGCAGTAACCATGCCCGCTAATATCAACCATCAAGTGAAGATATCGTTTTGATTGAGAAATAAGATGGGCAGAAACTCTATGAGAATCCCACATAGCCCAAATGCCACCTGAAAACCCAACAGCTTCTTCAAAAAAAGCTTGGTCAAATTTCAATTTTTTCATTAACTTCCTACTACTCTCACTGTCAGTGCGAGTTTCCATTAACACAACCATGCAAATACCATGCTTCTCCACAATCATTTTTAGGGTATGACCAAGATTAGGTTTAGCCGCACCCCTACAATTCCAAAAGAGAACAGACATTAAACAAGACGCAAAGAAGTTGCAGAGTGAGCTTGCATCTGCGACAAACGTCTTGTTAAATTCTTGCCAACACCACGAGGGCCACCAACACCTTTGGGCTTGCTAGGACCGAGACGCTGATGATTTGATTTAGGGTCAGGCGGTTTCGGAATAGGAGCTTTAATGATACTCTCCTGCCCAAGCTCACCCTGAATCATCACATCGTGTCCCTGAGAATCCCTAGACATGACTTTATTCATCATCCTCCACTCAGTACCAGCAACCAACGTACTGGACGAAAAATTCCTGCCTAAGGACGACTTGTCAACAGCGTGACTAAACGATGGAAAGACAACATCATCCTTAGAGTGCATACCGTCGGGCTCTTTACCGTCGACCATAGACTCCCCCACAAGAGTGAAAGCATTATCCAATTCAATTAGTTGGACCTTTTCTTGAATAGCCTTTCGTTTCTCCTTATTTTCCTCCACAACAAAATTTCGACTTCCTGATGCCGTGTTACGAACTAACACTTTTTTAATTAGGCAAAAAAATTAAAAATTTAAATTTAAATAACAAATTATGACATTAATGATGTTTTCAAATATTTTACAGAATTAATATAATCAATTGCACACAAATATGGTGCAAAAGTAGTTACAATGCAACTGTCACATGACTAATGACTAGTTTTCGTGGGTTGCACATGTGGTGTGTCGACGAACAAAAAAAAGTAATGTGCATTACCACAATTCTAAGCAAAATAATAGGTTTGATAATACAACTTATTCCAGAATCACTTATTACAAAAATCTACAGTCACTTTAGATAAGGTTATTTACAATTATCTCAAAAATTACGTCATTTTGATTAATGAAAGGTGTTTCTGTAATTTTAAGTGAATTAATGAAGGGTATTTTCGTAATTTTGTTTACTTTTTTATCATATGCATTTTACTAAAACACTTTTCATTAATTCACCTAAAATTACAGAAACACCATTCATTAATCAAAACGACGTAATTTTTAGATAGCTGTAAATAACCTTATCTAAAGTGGATGTAGAAATATTTTTTTCACACACACATATAATATATATATATATATATATATATATATATATATATATATATATATTATTCATTTAATCAAATATTATTTCTAATGATTTTTGTTCCTTGGATAAAAATAAGTAAAAAAAATATTTCTCAGAACCTTGACACGAACACTTAACCCTTTTTTTCTTTATTTTTAGTCTTCTTAATTTTTAGTCCGAGGAACATAAATGATTAAAAATAGTCTTTGATAAAACTGATTTGTTTTTTATTCTAGAGAATGAACTGATTGTCTGAAAACACAAATTCGCACAATAAGAAACAACCTCTTTTTTACCTTTTTATTATTTTGCACTTACAGAAATTGTAAAATATGTTATCAGCATTAAATATACATTACTTACTAGAAATATTATTTACTAAATATACTTTCTCTTTGGTATAGTGTTAAGAAATATATTTTTTCTTCAGAATCTCTTATTAAGCACAAAAGTAGAATAATAATAATAATCATTATCATTGTTGTGAAATCGGACCGGACCGGCCGGGTCGATCCGGAACCCGGTGAATTGGTCATCTGACCGGTCCGGTTATCATATTGAATCGGTCAAGTATCAGACCCGGTGCGACCCGACCGGTTTTGGTGAAAAACCGATGACCCCAGTCGGTTAATCGGTGTCTCGGCCCGAGTTTTTTTTTAAAAAAAAAGTTTTCAAAAAAAAAAATTCATAATTGACATATTTGAGTGATCTGTTACTTATTGACTTACATAAGTTATATACCTACAATCTTAATATTATTTCAATTATGCACTATACAGGAAATTTTGATTTGATAGTTAGAGATGTCGTTTACCGAACCTGAAATACCAATATAACAAGCATTATGTGTTTGTTTGATCTTTTTTTTTTTGATAGATTGTTTGTTTGATCCTTTATAGGACAATAATGTGTAATTTATTATTTTTTATATTAAAATATTTAGAATTTATATTATTTTTTCAGCTATTTGAGTATATTTATAATTTTTTAATATAAATTATAGATTTATATATTACCTCGACTGAGTCATTGAGTGGGCCGATTTTAATAACATTCATAATAATAATAATAATATTTCTTTTCGTAAATAATGCCAAAGGGCATAATCATTGTCATGCACGCACTTGGTCTCGCAATTAAAAAGAACATTAAAATTATTTTTCCGTGAGACTTGGAAATTAATTTCTATGATTGACTGCACTGATGTCGAAATAACACCATAATAAAATAGGCTACAATAAACTTTACGACTATAAATCATTACAAATGGAAATGGGTTATGTAATGCTCACATGCTAGGTAGAATTTTTTAAAATAAAAATTTCTTGCCCAGGTACTAAAGCTCCCCTGCTAATAGCATTTTCTCATGGTGAACCTCAAATAGACAGTCGAAGTACGTGGGGAGGATACCTATATGACAAAAAAAAAATGCTTAAGATGAATAGGAGAATTTGAAACTATAAACTATAACACTACCTCAAATTCAAATTTATTTTCAAAAGCATTTTTCTTTTGTTGAATCCTACACGTGTCATTTTAGACAATAATATTTATTTACGGTATCTTATTTGAAGATTAAATAATAATAATAAAAAATTAGTTTCATGAGAAATTTTTTTAATAGAAAATAATTATTTCTAAAAAAAAATAAAAAAAATCCCGGAGATGCACTTTCTGCTTTAAGAGCTCCATTTAATAAGACATTTGTGGAAGCATTCTTTACAAGCAAACGCATTCAATAGACAACCCATTGTTACACAAATTCAAGGCTAAATTAAAAGTTGATTTGTAGGTTACACGTGCTTAAAGATTTCTCCTAAACGAAATAACATTCATTTTGCAAGGAAAATTTGCATGTGTGAGAGAGAGTAGCTTTGTTTAACCACAAACACTTGCTAATCAATAAGCTCAAAAGAGCAGTTATTACATAGTATTTTTACATAGTCCATGAAGCATAACCAAGCACCATACAAAGAAACATACAGCCAGCAGAAAATAAATACAAACCACTATTTTTTTTTTCAAGTCCTTAATGCAAACATAATACTTCAAAATTAAGCAACTACCACCATAGAAGGTACGGATTTGAACCGAAACACATACTATAGCAATTAATAGTTCAGAATGACTAGGAATTTGTTCATCAGAGCCTTGTTACTGGAGAACAAGACATTCGTGTGAACCAGGCACCATTGCAGGCTGAGTGCTTGAGTTAACTGCATCAACTTCCTCAAGACATTGAGATTTAACATTCATCTCAACAGATGCAATGGCTTGAAAAATAAGAGCATTGACTTCTTGAAATCTCTCTTCAGATAGTGAGACCTCTGCAAGAAGCCTACATGCATTGGCTTCAGATGCCTCATCATAGTCCTTCTTCCTCTTCAACACCATGTGCCCACCAATTTCCCACACAGCAGGATTCACTTGAGTGTCCAGAAGCTCAGCACTCACTTCTCCTAGAGCTTGTTTCTCTGCATAGCACTGTTTGTCCATTTTGCACAAGTTACAACCAGAAACATTATGCAACTAATCAATGTGACTTTGATCAAATAAAGATAGATTCAATAAAACCAATTTACCTGTGGTAAGAGAAAGATTTTCCTTCCACAGTCAGAAATAAGGACATTGTAAGGTATGTTGTTGTGTTGAAGGCAGATACAGGCTTCTGAAACAGTGTTTGCTAAATCATCTAGGGTATGACCACCTTCAAAGACAAGACCTCTAACTGGATAGTTCAACAATTTAGATATCTTCACACCACCATTTAATTTGGCAATTTTCTTAGTAGGAGCCTTCTCGATGGGGAAAGGCACAGCCAAATAATATGCCTGAATTTGTCAATATTACAAAATCGCAATTTGGTTACTGCCGGAGCTCTACATAAGGAATGCAATATGCCAACATGAACAATAAGGTAATAATCCAAAGTCGTTTAGCAATTAGTACCTGAAAGTGAAGATGGTTAATAGTTGCAAATGCACCCAAGCTGTTGTAACCCAATCGAAAATATGGATTTCCTGCTTCAGCTGCCATGTGAAGTGCAAGCAAGAAGCTTGCATGATCAATCCTTTGGGGTAAACACTCGAAAATACGAGGAATCAGCAACACATGGCCATATTCAATAGGACTAACCTGTTAAGATATTATATAAAGAAACACCATCATATAAACACATATTTCTACTGAACCCTCAAGGACAAAGTCAATTAAAAAAAAAAAGGCTAAGAACCTTACATTGATGGCAACAAAGCTTGGAGAATTCTCAACATCGATTGGTGCATTTGGAAAGAATTGAACTTCACCATCATTGCTAGGTTCAAATTGAAACAGGACCTCTTCTTGCCCAACTTTAGTGAAGTTGAATTTGCTTTCATCAAAGGGCTGGAGAACCTTATCAACTCGAAACTCGGTTGGTCTCTTCTTGAGGTGGCGACCCTCGTTCAGCTGGGCAATGAAACCATACTCACCCGGAATTACCTACCCCAGAAAAACACACATGAAACCAAGTCCACTAATAACATCCATGCAAACCCAAAAACCAAAATACAACTAAAAAGAAAGAAAAATAAATAAATTAGGAGACAAATTAGACCTTGGTTTCACAGGCAGTAACATCATAACGGAAAAGCCCTCTCTGCATGCGATCTTCCCACTACACCATCAAAACTCAAAAACTTAAAAACACACAACATGATGACACAACCACACACAGAGAAAGAGAGAAAACTCCAGATTTATCAAAATCACATAACTACCTCCCCAAGAATAAGCGAGTCTAGAAAGGCCACATGTTGTTCCTTGCATTCAAGAAGGGGCAAGTCCTTCCCACTAACATTGTCAACCCTTTTAAAAGCATACAAAGGAAGCTTCGCCTCTGTTACCAAAAAAATCGCATCAAACACAACATGCATGCAAACCAAAATAAAATAGAAACAACTCAAATCTAACCCCAGAAAGAGTTAATACAAATAACTGCTTACAATACCTTGAATGCAACAACTTTTGAGGCAATTCCGACCACAACCCCCGACAGGGCTAGCAGCCCCCACAACCTCCTCTTTTTGATAATTCGAAACCACAGTGGGAACCCTCTTAATCCTCAACATCTCGTCTATGTTTTTTTTCTTAGCAAAATTCAAAAACAAAAAACAACAACAAAATAGAAGAAGAAAACAACTTGAAAGAGATCTTAAATAGAAAATTTTCACTTTTAATACTAAACTAAAGTCCTAATCCTAAACTAGAAGAGATGAGAAGGAACCACCGCCGGCGAGGAAGAGGAGATCGGAGGGGCTGCCACCTTCGGAAGGCAAGGCGCCACGCCCTCCGTGCGGCGAAGGGTTGCTCTCCGTCGTCAAACAACCCTTGCGTCGTACCGAACGGGCATGAATTCGTGGCCGAGGAACTCTTTGAATAGCCGTGATGTCTACAATGCGTCAAACCAGGGTTTTAACCCACCAAACAAGTCTCTTTCTCTTTCTCTTTTTCTTCTTCTTCTTCTTATGTTTCTTCGAGTTCTTCTTATACAACCCACAAAGCTAAACAGAAAAAAGGTTCAAACTTTGGGAACCCCTTCAACTAAGTGGAGAAACCCAGATGCGAAATTGAAGGGAGAGTGTGAATCTGAAAGGTGGGGTTGTTTTGGTGATGTGGGTGTCTGAAGAAGAAGAAGAAGGTTTTGTTTTATAGATAAGAGAGAGAGAGAGAGAGAGACGAAGATGGGAAATCTGGGTTTGGGGGTGGTGATGGTTGTGATTGTGCTTTTTTTTGTGAACACAACAAAATTACAAATGAGGGAAGAGGGGGTTTGGTGGCAAAAAGAACATGAAAGAGGAAAAGAAAGACAATAATGAAGAGAGAGAGAGAGAGAGAGAGAGAGAGAGAGAGGGGTGAAGTTGAAGTTGAAGGGTTATTTTTCTTTGTTATCTCTCTAATGGTAGGGTTTGTCCGTACAGAAAGTGGCCCCAGTTGGTGCCATTTCCGGTGAAGATGGACCACAAGGGGGGGCAGAAGAATAGGGCTGAGGTTGTTTACAGTTTGGATAACAACGGTTAAGAATCCTCACCACGAATAATTAATAATAAAAATAATTACAATGAAATAATAAAAAGAAAATATAATTGAAAAAATGATTTTTTTTAAAAGCTAAGTTTTAATAATGAGAATTTTTACCAAAACAACTTCTTTTAAAATCAAGCCTAAAATAGAGAAGAAAAAGAAAAATGAATATAACATGTATAAATATATACATAATCGGTAAATACCATTGAAGTTAAATATGCAATTAATTATGCTAATCGTGATCAACTTTATTAATTTGTATATTAATTATTGTCCAATTACTAAAGAAGATAAAATTTTCAAAAAATAAAAGTGACTCTTAAAATGACACGAGGCATAGAATTTGCTGATAATTTGTTTTATTTTATATAGCAAGTATTATTATAATAGATTAAAAATAAAAATAAAGTAGACATATTTAAATATATGCATGAAAGGCAAGTATGTCATTAATTATGTTAAGAATGTTGTAATTCTATGAAAAGATAAATAAAAGAAGATAACATTAAAAAAATCTACCAGATATACATATATTTTCTATATTCAAACGGGTTTGGTTGTGTTATCAAAAAAAAAAAAAAAAACGGGTTTGGTTGGATGTGCACGAAGGAGTGAAGGACCAACTAATATGACTTTTGAAGGAGTAGAGACATGAGGTATCCATCAATCACAACTTGCATTTGTCCGGATCTGTTAATTATTTTGGTTAATTTTCAAACTTGTAATCAATTAATTATGTGAATTTTCACTTATTAATAAATATATTTCTTATAAAATTTCATTTATATAGTCAAAAATAATATCTTATTCTCTGTAAGGAAATATTTATTCCAATTGTGCAACCACAATAAAAATTTAGCTTAAGGCAACTGTAATATAATACATATTAGTAACAATTGGGTTTCGGGGGGAGGGGATTTTTATTGTACTTGTACGAAAAGTGACATTTATTGTGCTTCAATTTCTTGACCTTTTCTTATTTCCCTAACCAAATAGGAAATATAAATTTGATTTAAAAATAAATATTCTCAACTCCAACATAACACAAATAATTAGTTCCATTGAAATTCTCACACTAATACGTGATTTCTATAAGAATTAACACGACACAAATAATTTATTAATTTTATTTTAAATAAAAATTATATAAATAAATTAAAATTAATAAATAAATGTGAAATAAATATTTAGTTATGTAAATATTTAATTTTAACAAGTCAATTATGAATCAACACAAATATAAATAAAAAACATAATATGATTTTTTCATATTAATTTTCTGAGAAGGTTATAGTTACTATCTTTTTTTCTTATTATATCTTATTATTAAATTTTAACTGTTGATTTTCGTCAATTTAAAAGTTGTAATTTATTAGGTCTTACTTATTAATTAATTTTTAATTTTTAATAAATTATAACTGTTATATTGACGAAAATCAACGATTAAGATTTGATGATAAAAAAAAGATAGTAACTATAACCTCTTCTTATTTCCAAAAAAAAAAAAAAATTATAACCTCTCTCTAATTTTTTATTAACTCGAACGTGGCATAATTTTAATTATATTGTATAGTGTTGACGTGTTGGGTTCAAAATTCTCACCCCTAATATTAATTAATAATTAATAAGATAAAACCAGATTAGATGTGTTTGGCTCCTTCATTGTGGGCTAAGAAATTAGTATAATTTAAAGGAGTCAAATCGCTCTTTACCATAGTCACTCTTTCAACAAAGAAAAAAGTGTGTATAATTCAAGAGAATATAAAGTTGTGTCATCTTAAGTAAGAAAAAAAGATAGATTATAGAAAAAATAGAGTGGATAAAAAAAATTAAAGATTTAAATCTCATCTCTTTACAAAAATAAAATAATATAAATTATATCATTTAAAGTGACAAATATTTTTTCCTTCAACAAATTATTTTAAAAATAACGCAGTCCCAACACGTGAAACTTGCTAATGAATTGGCTAAAATGTCTCTTACGGGGCCGGCCCAAATTCCTCTGATCGTAAATTGCTCGTGATGTCTATCCCATAAAAGCAGACCAAACACGTGTTATATTACTATACTAGACTCAGCATGTGCTTTGTTTAAATAAAAAAATTTAGATTCAAGATTAAAGAAAATCATCAATCTTGATAAGAATTTAAGGTCTGATAGTATAAGACTTAATAGTATAAGGTCTGATTGTATAAGACCTGATTGAATTTTAATACTATACAGCGTTTGGTACGGTATTGTATAAAATAATATATTGTATGAGATAATATCATCTAGTATTTGGTAATGCATTGTATAATACTATATATGATAAAAATAAATATTTTTAATAAAAATATCCTTTAAAAAAGAATTTATATAATTCTTCAAAAAATGTCATATGATATTAATTTTTATAAAAATTTATTGATCAGTCTGTCCAAAATATAAATTAATTTTATAAAAATAAAAATATTCAATATTTTAAAAATTAATATATTGAAAAATTTATTTTTGTTTTAATAAATTAATATTAAAATAATATATTAATTTTTGAGAATTACATTGGTCAACGATGTTAATACATTAATCTCTTATCAGGTCTTTTCTCTCACCCTTTGGCCGGATTAAGTTATACATCGTTTTGATGTATTAAGGGATTATGTTGTATAAACTTATACTATACGATGATAACACCAAACAACTGAAAATATCATATCGTATAGTATAAGCTTATACTATCATGCCTTATACGTCACACCAAACAGACCCTTATGGTGTTACTAAACGTATACCATGTATACATAGATGGAACCTTTCATTAGATGTGCAAATTAACGAAATTAGAAAAAAAAAACTTTATAACACTTTTCCTATGTCATTGAATTTGTATTGTTCTTATATATCATTTAGCTAATAAAATAAAAAATATAAATAAATAAAGTGTGAAAATAATATATACAGAGAGATTTTTTTATATATATCATTTATTAATATATTAATAATATATTTTATTAATCTATTAAATAATATATACAAATAATATTAAATGATTCTAATCATGAATTCAATGTCATAAATTCATATCTCAATTTTTCCAAGTACCAAAAAAAATGGTAAATAATAGTAACTAACTTTCTTAACAATATTTTAATTATCAAATAAAAATATCAAATATTTTTATGTTTTAAAGATATTTAATTATTTATTTTTTATTAAGTGTTAAAAGAAAGGACCCGTTTGGATGAGCTTTTAAAAAAATGACTTTTTATGCATTTTTTTTTAAAATAACTTTTTTTAAAATATAAAGTTATTTTACGTTTGGATGTATGATCTGAAAATCACTTTTATATAAAAAAAATTGTTTGGATGTTAAAATAAAATAAAAACTTTTATATATAAAATTACAATAAAGGAGAGAGCATGGTCATAAGATAAGGAGAGATAAAATAGGTATGATAAGATAAGGTTAAAATTGTATTTTAAAAATTTATATTATCTTTTTTTCTAAAATAAAATAAAATTGTATTATCTTTTAATTCTTTTCTATTTTTCAAAAGCAACCAACCACTGGCTATAAAAAAAAGCAGCATTTTAACTTTTATTTTAAATTTTTCTTTTTTAAAAAATTGTTATCCAAATATCTAAAAATTCTCAAAAAGACTTTTATTTAAAAAAATAACTTTTTTAAGAATAAAAGTTCGTCCAAACGGGCACTTAAGTATTTTGTTGCAATGTGAAAATAATAATTAAAATGAAAGATAAATAGACCCAGTTGAAGGACCCACGTTTAATAATATTGTGGAGGAATTTCAAAATACCAAAAATCTATCTATTTGTGTCTGGGGTTAATTTGGATGAGATTTATTCATTGGTTGGTGGTTTTTCTTGTCATGTCATGGTAGGCATGGAGAGGACAATGATTTGTTATGTGTGAGGTTATCAAATCTGAAATAATGAGGTACCATCTTGGTTAATTAAGGGAAACACATAAAATCTCGTGCAAGATTCCGAATCTATTGAGAGAACATTCCAACCAGAGATTAAAGTTTGTCTGTCATATAATTAAGAGTAACCTCAACTGCGACATGCTTTGATATTTCATCATACCAATTATACATTTTACGCGTATTTTTAATTTAGATAAAAAAAATTTTGGGTAACATAATTTAGATAAAATTTAGATAAATTTTAAAATATATAAATTTAATACATTTTGAAATATATTTTAAATTACAAGAGATATATTTAAAATTAATTGAGTAAGTTATAAAAAATATATGCATAATCAATTCAAAATAGTTTAGATTTAAAATTTTAAAAAAAGTTAAAAATAACAAGTGTTAAGAATGAGAGCAGTTAAGATTTGGGGAGAAAGAGTAAATTTTAATGTAAAAAAAATTAAAAAGAATTAATTTCAGAGTACAAGTAATTAAGATACGAAGAGAAAAAAAAAACGTTACCTAAAAAGAAATTTTATTTAAATTTTATTTTAATAGTATAAACAGATAATATTTAAGAAGAAATAAGAAATTTTAGCATTCAATAATTTAAAATAATTATTAAATTAAAAATTTTAAAACATAAAAAAACTTCTAAACAAGAACACAATAAAAGTTATCTTATTATAAAAATTAAAAGCTCTATTTTATTATATATGATCCTCCCCCCCAAAAAAAATTATTTTCTCCTATCATCATATCATGCAATTTGGGAGGCAACCAATTGTAGATTGAAGGAAGAAAATATTTTACAAAGGGATAATTAATTCAATAAAAAAGAAGAATATTTATTATTGTAAAATTTTCATATTACTATTTTATTAGGGTTAAGCGGGATACAAGGATGGGTTTATCATCTATCATTTAACATGACCACAAAAAATTTCCTACACACACAACATTTTGTGGGGCCCGCAGCAAAAAAAAAAAAAAAACTTCGGCA